CCCGGGACAAGCTCAGGGTAGAACCGCTGCTCCTCCACATCGAGAGGAGCCAGCTGAGGTGGCTCGGGCATCTCTTTCAGATGCCTCCTGGGCGCCTTCCTAGGGAGGTGTGCCAGGCATTTCCCACCGGGTGGAGGCCCGGGGAAGACCCAGGACACGCTGGAGGGACTATGTCTCTCGGCTGGCCTGGGAATGCCTCAGCATTCCCCCGAAGGAGCTGGAGGAAGTGTCTGGAGAGAGGGAAGTCTGGGCATCTTTGCTTAGACTGCTGCCCCCGCGACCCGGTCCCGAATAAGCGGAAGAAAATGGAAGGATGGATGGATATTTTTCTGATGTATGCCATTTTCAATCGGTTACTCTTCAGTATTGCAGGTGCATTTTAAAATGAAGTTGTGTACATGTTTGCACTGTACAGTAGGTATATAGCTGCAAAGGAAAGGATGCTCAGAAGCATCAGTCAGCCTGTGGAGCTCCAGGCACGAGGCTGAACCTGCCAGCCTTTATCACCAGTTATGACCCGGAAGCATGGAGATGGTGTACCATTGCTGTGGTGTTCACAAGGAAAAGTTTGACATTTTGGAACATACACTTACATATTTGCTTTCTTGCTGAGAGTCTCCCTCATATCTGTCTGCTAAATATGAAGTATGGTTAGCTTAGCCTAGCATAAAGACTAGATACAGGATGCGACAGCTACTTTGGCTCTTTGCAAAGATAACAAATGTCTGCCTACCATTACCTTCAAAGCTCACTAATTAACATGTTATATCTCTTCCTAGAAATAGTCCACGCATAACCTCTACTGATACTGCAAAGTGTTGTTTTTATACTTTGGTATTAGTAGAAATTAATCATTAGATACATTAGATTAGATATGCGTAGCCTGTTCATTAGTAAACTTTGAAGGTACTGATAGGTGAGATGTATTACCTTTAGATAGACCCAAATATCTAGGCATTTTCCCCAGTCTTTGTGCTCACCCGACCAACTATTGGCTGTAGCTTTATACCTAACATACAGATTTGTACTGTAGTCATCTTTTCATTTAACTATCAGCAAGAACACAAGTAAGCATATTTTCTAAAATGTCAGACTATTCCTTTAAGGTTCATTCTGCATAACTACCACTTTCTGGGATTTCGTCTGACTGGAAGCTATGGAAGTCTTTTCTCCTTCTCTGTCCTCATATTTTCTGACAACTTCTACTCTGTAGTATTGAAAAACATGCTACATGGAAGCTGGAAGAAACAGTAGCACTACTTTGAAATAGCACATACATACAAAATGTGTATGCATAAATGTATAAACTCAGTATCTTCAAAAACACTGCACATCAAATCTATTTATTGAGGCACGGTTCAACAAGCAGGTAGGAATGTATTCTGCATAGTTGTCACAGCTCTGTGCCTTGAATGACGATATAATTTCTCCTTTCCATTTAGAAAAACTTCCACAGTGGGAGTTCAGACAGGCGTGCACTTACCAGTTGCATCATAGAAAGAGCTTTTTAAGTCCGACATGGCACAACTAGGGAAAGTAGATGCTAAATTACACTTCATGAAATAATCATGAGCCAAGACATTGTCTCTGCTCTCTCATACTTTTAGTGTTGTATTGTTGAAAGCTCTCCTGTCTCTGCTGAGAGTCCTGGGCAGGGCTCCACAGTGCCTCATGTTGCTAGCAAGGAGCTGCATGAGATAATCATTGCTAATTTATCATTCTGACACGCTAACAGGATGGCGATAAATGGAACAAAGGGATGTCTGCATCACAGGCATGTTTTGTTCTTTTCACTCTGGTGCTCATCTGCTCTCTACAGGGATTTTAATACCAGCAGTAAAAGTAAATCAGCATTTTTGTGTCCCTTGTTCCTGATAATTTTAATGTTGGTAAAAATGCCTCAAACAAAGGCAAACCAGACTAGGATCAAAGTAAAGCGTGCTCATTTGATCTGAAGCAGATTTTGTGTTCTCTTCTGCTCATTCTCTCAGCCTCACGCCCAGTGGAAAACAAACTGTGCAAGGGTCCAATCCCCAGCAGGTCTCAGTTGTGCCAGATCCCCTGTCCCATCGACTGTGAGGTGTCACCGTGGGGCGCGTGGGGGCCATGCACCTTTGAAAACTGTGATGATCAGGCTGGAAAGAAAGGTACAAAGACAAGGTGCAAATAGTTTAAAAATGTCATGAGATGTCACATTATTATTATTATTCATCAAAGTTACTCTGTTATATTTGAGTCAGTAATTGCCACTATCTGTGATGTTTAACATTTTTCTAAATAATTATTTGAGTCAGTAATTGCCACTATCTGAGGCCACTTGTGATGTTTAACATTTTTCTAAATAAGCCACCTTCACTTCCCCCTTGCATGTATTCATTTTGTTTTTGTACTTTGGGAAAGATGTTTGTCCATCTCCTGTCCATCCTTTAGACACTGAGCTAAATTCTGACTGTTTTGCTGTGATGCTTTGATGAAAAAGCAATGACCCCTTCCTTTGTTCCTTCTTCTTGTTGCTGATACCAATATATTAAATATAAGGTCCAAATGATATATTATTGTGCATAACCTATTTCATTAAGTTCTACTGTAGTAAGCAAAACAAATGATTGTAAAAGATGTGGTGCTTTGTTTTACACTGTAGTAAATGTTGCTTATTTATGTTCCATTTTTAAGAGAACAACACTACACATATAAACATTATTAATGAGTCTGAAGGCATTCGTGATGTGGCAAAGTTTTTACTACATAATGTTATTATCATTTTATTGTAGCTATGATTTACACCATAGAGCTTCAAAGAATCAAAATGAGTAGGTGATGATTCAGTGTCTCTAGTTATAGGTGGTCATCTTTTTATTAAAAATGCATAAGAACCATATCTGTGAGTGGTACTTCAGCCATATTATAATTTCATGTTTGGTATAAAATGTGGTTTATCAGTATGTAGCAGGTGTTTAATTAATCTGGGTAAAGTTAAATGTTCATGCAAAATTACACATAAGTTTGATGTGGTATATGTGAAAGAGCAGCTTTGTGATCAGTGTTGTGTTCACTGAAGTCATAGGCTGGCGTGTGTATGGTTCACTGGTCACATGTGCATTATGGCTGTTCATCTGTGACATTACTGAAAGTAAAAGCTCACTCAGCGTTAGAACAAGATGGGTATAATAAGAAGAAGCTCTGTCCATGTGGGCAAATCTTGAAGGTTTTTTTTTAAATATTCACTTCAGTATTAATGAGCTGTTTTAACAAGTCAGCCATGAAAAGCTAAACCAAACTGATGCTAATCATGAGCATTTATCATCAGTGCTGGAAGAAGCACTCAGATCATTTAGCACAAATACCAGACATACCATTACAAGTAAAAGTTGTGGATTCAAAATGTTACTTAGGTAAAAGTACAGTAAGTATTTTCAGCTTTATGTAGTCCAAGTATAAAAAGTAAAAAAATAAAAAAATGTCCCCCTGACTGTTAACACTGATTCTGTTGTGGTGGTCAAGGTGAAGCTAGTTTTACCCGCTTTATATACAGTTCTGTAGCTTTGACCAGTGGGTCCCAACCTTGAGGTCGGGGCCCCTCCAACTGATCACAAAATACATCTTAGGGCTCATATTACAATTTATAAAGTAGAAAAGAAGAAAAACTGTTCTGCTACACATATTTATTTTTATTTTAAAACTTTAATCTTTAATTTTGTTGTAAAATAGCATCCTCTTTAAATGAAGCCATGAAAGTCTTATTTACTTCCATATGCACACAGACCTCTGTGACTATGGGCCCCAACTAATCACAGTTTATTCTGTAATCAACGTAATTAGAAATTACAAGTTTAATTTTTAACAGTGAAAGATTTTTAAATCGCTAAAGCTGTGAAATGCATGTAGTAGTATAAATGTACTACACACATATGTACTTGAGTAAATGTACTTAGTTACTTTCCACAGCTGCCTGTCCTACATTGGTATACTGTTCTTACATTTGGTTTGTCACTCCCTGTTTTTAAACTCTTTGCTGTGCCGCAGGATTTAAACTGAGGAGACGACAGATCACCAACGAGCCAACAGGAGGACCTGGAAACTGCCCACACCTGGTGGAGGCAGTGCCCTGTGACGAGCCCACTTGTTACGACTGGCAGCTGGTCAGTCTGGATCAGTGTGTTCCTGATGATGAGAAGCCATGTGGTCCCGGCACTCAGCTCGCACTGGTCCACTGTGTCAACAGCAACGGTGAGATGGGATAATTCAGACTCATCGTTCATGTTGCTGATCAGATGAGATTTTACTGCTAATGGTGCCTCGCGCCCCACAGTTTCAAAATGCTACAGCGGCAGTGTTGTTGATTGACATTTTTGATTACTCATCCTTAGAGCGTGCTGTGCATTTGGCTCACCTCCATTTATAACGAAGTGCCGGCCCGACCTTGTATGCAAAATGCTATATTTTCAAAGTCACCTGTGCACAGACCCACTGCCTCTTAGTGGTACAACTCTGTGCGTGACGAGACTTCCATGACTGCACTCCTGGTTGCCATTCATCAACATTCTCTCCAGACTCCTCTCCCTCCGTTCCTCCCTCTGTTAAATCTCTCCTGCGTTAACACTTGCTTGATTCAGCATTGCCATCTCTCACAGGCTGTCCCTCTCTCATTATGCTCTCCCTCTCTGCACACACAATTAAACCTTACAGGCACTAAATCAAATCAATGCTCTGTGGCCCTGGGTCTTTGAGTATCTTGTGCCCTTTGCTGCTCCTTATTTTTACTGCTACTTTTTATTACTGTAAATCTTAAATATAAGGGGTGGTGATGCAGTATAGGAGGCCATTTATGCCGTAATTCATACTTTCCCACACAGACACAACTATACTCTTACACACACACACTACTATACCCTCTTACATGTACAGTCATACTCGCACTCGGTGTCATACACACAACATCATAATCTCGCACAGACACTACTATACTCTTACACTCTTACATAGTTATGTCTGTGCAAGATTATTACTGTGCAAGTGAGGGAATATAGTACTGTGTGTGTAGGAGTATAGTACTGTCTGTGTAAGAAAGTATGAACATGAACGGCCTCCCATATTCCAGACATCATCTTGCCTTCAGGCTATGGATAAATGTTAGAGACATAATACAGAGCACAACACATTTTTGATTTTTATTCAATTGCTTCTTTCCTGCTAAGCTGTGTACTACAGTAAATACTGTGCTTATTTATTCAGCATGTAAAGTTAGACTGTACTGCTCTAGGAATCTAATTCACTTCCAAATGTACTCAGTAAATCTTCATTTTATGATCCAATCTGGTGACTTTGTTTATGTTTCCCCCACTAGAGAACTTGATTTGTCCTTCCAGCACCACCCACAAATCATAGTTCATGCATCAACTGCAGGTATTCAGTGAAGTTGGTCTGGTGGATAGTCCCCCTTTGTACTGCAGCGGTAACAGAAACTCAGCACTATTCTTTCTCCCCCTGACTTCCCTGATTGATCCCCCACCTTCACTCCCTCATCTGATGAAAATTGATTTGTTCTGTTTGGATTTTCACAGTTTTTTGCCTGAGAGATTTTTCACTGCAGTGTCAGCTGTATATTTTCTCCAAGTGTGTCCCAGTCATAAAAGAAAAGGCCACACAGCCAGGCTCCAGACAACAGGCGAAGGTCGATACAAATGTTATTGAAACATGGATATTGATATTCCCCCATGTGGAGCGCCTGGTCCTTCATGCAGCTAGCCATTTCTACTCTGCACACTGAGCATAGAGGTTTTCCTCTCAGAGTGTTCTGTTCATTCTCTTTTTTTGTTCATTCATGTTTTCTCTCTGTGAGTGGAAAAACTGCTGGGGTCCCTTGTCACTTCTCATTTTCATGCCGTCTCAGTTCAGTCATGATTGGTTCACTGCATATCTGTCAAAGTGACATCTTAATGCAAAGTCAGGCCATGTCTGACTTGTAGCGCTCAAGCGATTCTGCTTTGCTTGAAATTTCAATTCAACCACTGAAGGGTTTACATTTCCCTGGGTGTATGCATGACTTACAGAAGAGAATATGCTCTGCTTGGTTCACGGCAGCACATGGAAGAAACAGTAGATGAATACCTGAGGTAACATAATCTACTTATACTTGATGCTAAGTCATTATTAAAATGTGACAACAATAATGCAAAAATGTGTTTTTTACATTGTAGCTTCTTTCATGTCTTTGTGTCAAATCTTAATCTGTAGTGGAGTAGAAATATTCCGTAGCATAAAATAACAATTCTCAAAATTTGTTTGAATTGCTGAGGCAATAAATCCAATGCCCCCTCAATCCATTATCTATGCCACTTATCCTGAAGAAAGTCATGGGTGGGGAGGTAATCCCAGCTGACACTGGCCAAGAGGCAGGGTCTACCCTGGACAGGTCGCCAGTCTATCACAGGGCTGACATATAGACAAACAACCACACACACACTCACATGTGTGGCCAAATTAAAGTCACCAATCAACCTAAGCTGTATGTCTTTGGACTGTGGGAGGAAGCTGGAGTACCTAGAGAGAACCCACGCAGGCACAGGGATAACATGCAAACTCCACACAGAAAGGCCCTGGGTCGGCTGGGCCTTGAACCCAGAACCTTCTTGATGTGAACTGACAGTGCTAACCACTGCATCACCATGCCGCCCAAAATCCAACTTCTTCTGCACAAAACATTTACTTATTGCTGTTCCTGTCACATATGCACATTTTCTTACACTTTCTGCGCCAGACATATGATGCAATCAAAGAACACTGATACCAGTTTGGAGAATATCCTTCCCAAGTTGTCTTAAGAAAACAAGCAAGCCTGTCTCTACAACTGGAAATAGGCTGTGTGCTTGACATTGTGCCATCAATTAAGACACACAGCTGTTCATTCTCCCAGCTGCTCTGACTGTCTCTGTACTGAAGTGCAGATGATAACATCATTCCTTGAGCCTTCAAATGTGTTCTCATTACCCAAGTTATCACCCAGCCTATCCTCAAATGGCATGTAAACACTTGGCACCTGTTATACCACATGTGCCCTTCCTCACAGTACAGTGCACACAAAATACACGGTTAAGGAATTTGGTAAATATTTTCTTACTGCAGTATGAGAACACACACACAGCGAGGCACATACCAGTTTGACTTTCAATTAAAACTAGTCAAACATCTTTTGTCCAGTACACCATGTTTTAAGCACCTGTCATTTCATCCAGTTGTCTGTTTTATCTGGCTACCCAATGTCTTACCTGAAATATTTGGGAAATGAGGAGGTGTGTGCCTCCCTTTCAAGAAGCAGCTGCTCCAAATCTCATCCTCTCTTTGACAGTCAGGAACTACAACAAAAACATTTGGTGAATAAATCATAGTGGTGCTTATTTGTGTAACATTATAGTAAATAGACCAGTGTACAGTACGAATTTTAGCAGTTTACACTGCAGCCCAGTAAGACGAGTGGGGTAATAAAGGGGCAAAACTAGTAATTAGAGACCATTATAGCCTATTCTTAGGCGTATTTTTACCCACAGCATTAATGTAGTAATGTAGAACACAATCATTTTCTAATAATAGTAATAAGTGTTAATGGAGTCTATAAGATGCATTTCTTCCTAATTTTACAACTCAGCTTTAGCATCAGTTTTCTTGTAATAACTTCTTGTAATTGATGGTATTAAATATGACTATAATATTACTTAGCTTTGAAAAGCAGCTTACATCTGTCAAACTTTCCTACCTCTCAGCTTTGACCTTGTTATATTCTGTCACTTTTTTCTTTAGGAGAGGAGGTGGACAGAAGTCTCTGCTTGTCTTCTCCAGCTCCAGAGCCTGTCCCCTGTGAGGTGCCTTGCTCAAGGGACTGCGTCCTCAGTGACTGGACCCCCTGGTCTACCTGCTCTCAGACCTGCTCCAGTAAGACCATCGAAGGCAAACAGATGAGGACCCGTTCCATTTTGGCCTACAACGCCGGAGAAGGTGAGTCTCCGCCTGCTGGCAGTCATCTGCACCGTGGTGCATGGAAATATGCAGATGAGGCCTGGATATTGGCTTCGTCATGGGTGTTCTAGTCGTCCTTTGCTGTCACTCACTGAATGTCTGAATTTCACACTTATCTGAATCTGCATTTGTCCTCATCGCAAACAGTGTGCTTATCTGTCCTGGTGATTGCTTCTGTTAGTCTGTCTATTCAGCAGACGCCTTCTTTTATCTGTCTCTGAAATGTGCTTGTCTGTCTGTCTTTCTGTTTGTCATGTCACCAAACATCTTGCTGTTTTATCCGAGTGTGCGCTTTCCTCACAGTCACTACCATGGTTGTGGCGTGGATCACAGTGATGGAGGGTAACATTTGTAATTAATGTTTTCTGGTAGCTGCTTTAAACCTCTAGCTGTGTCTATTTGTAGCAAAATGAAAATGGTTAGCTTGTACATTATCATAACAGCTTTAAGGTAGCTAATAATTGATTTCAAACCTATTCAAGCAGTTATAATACTGCCAAGGCTTGTTGGTCATGTGTGAAATAGCTTCACTGTGTTAGCGGTTTCCTGTTGTCCTGCAGTAGTATTAGTTAAAGTACTGCATAGCTCACCTGTCACATTAACATACCTAACATCTGTATTTATCAAAGGTCTTTCATGGGTGCCCAAGTTTCCAGAACTTTTCAGTAAATCTTTGACTTTAGACTAGAAATAAATGTTATACCCAAAGTAGTTTCAGAATGGTTGATAAATACAAAAGGAAGCTATATTAAACTATATTCTGCTGTCTATTCAGACATGCATTTTTATGAAGGCATATACCCTACAACAATACCTGAAAGAACCTTTGTCTCTCCACCACTGCTTCCCCCTGCAGAGTCGATTATCTGATTAGATTTTGGGCTTCTTGGCAGATTTTCCAGCTCCAGTGGTGAATATTAATGAAGAAAAAAAAACTCACAGGAACAACTCGAAGCTTTAAAGCTCTCTGACACAGGGTTCACACTGATGCAACCACAAATATGGAACTGCATGATTAATAAATTAATAGGCATAATTATTGACCTATTTAGCATAGCTGCATTTAATTACATGGTGATTATGGTGGGACTTTATTAAATGTCTTTTACTGTTTGACACCCATGAGCTAATTAATATTCAAGTTGCATGCTAAGTGGTAGTTGCTGCAGCTTTTTGTGAATAAGCTGGACATTAATCAAATCTAGCAGCTTTGTTTGTTACACCAGCTTGTTTTTTCTCTCTACGGCTGTTTTTCTCCATTGTCCAACATACAACATACACCTATTCTGGGTCATTGTTCAGCCACAGCTCACACCCACTGGAGGCACCATGTCATACTACTGCTGGGGCTGGCCTGGCCCAGTCAGCAGAAAGGAAGTTGTTCTCAGTAACAGTTACTGTAGGTTCAGATATGTGTGAGTTGGCAGTTTGTGATTCAGGCCCAACTGTGTACACCGCCGCTCATTATGGAGCTGGCGCTCTGTCAACTCCAGCAGCGAAATACAGGTGTGAAGGACTCACAGTTCTGCGATGCCTCTCAATCTTTGCAGAAAGCCCTAAGTGCTGGCAATTACTCTAAACGAGAGAGGGCTTTCTCAGTTCATCGACTCAACAACTGACTGACTGACTGACTGACTGTCGCCTCAGAAGACAAATGAGAGGGAGACAGGCACAAAGAGAGGCAGAGTAAAAGGAACTGGGAAAACAATAGATGGAGGATGTACACAGCAATGCAATGCAGTGACAGTCAGACCTGTGACTTACAGTAACATTTAAAACTATGTCATAGGCATAAGCAGTCATCACAGAACAAAAGTGCCTGCATGCAAAAACCTAGGGCATATGTATAGGTATTTGTATATTTGTAACATTTGATTTTTGTGTTACCAATATCTTCATTAAATAGTAGTAAAAATACATTGGCCTCAATGCAGGCAGACATAAACTAAGTGATATAAATGAGCAGTCATTGTAAATACTGTCATATGTAATCATACTGTGTATGTATTCTGTTAATGATTAGCAAATATAGTCCCTGTCAACATTATATTCAGACAACAGACAATGTGAGTTTGATTGAGTCATTCTACTGTACCTCAGTTATAATGCTGTTGTAAACTGAAAATGTGTCAGTTAACTGCTGTGTGAAGGTTTGCCCTTAAAATCCCACTCTGTGGCCAATAAAACCCATGTCATAGACATACGCTGATGATAAAATATATTGCCCAGATACTTTATTTTGGTGGAAATATAAATTAATATGTGCATTATGTAGGTGCATACAACTGCATTCAGAGATGGTAACTTAAGATATTCAGTGATTTCAGAAGGTCAGAGATTTGTGACAAAAGTTACCCGTATTCATACCCGTGCTTTTCTGAGACTTAAATAGATTTCTGGGCAGCACCTTCAAAAATCTGTAATCCAGCTCACACCTCCACAGTTTCAGGATAATCATGAGTTGAGGTTTCTGTGAGTTATAGGTTCTAATATGTGAAGCCCAGCCTCTAAAAACAAGCACTTGCTTTTAATCCCAAAGATGTTGAGCAACAGAAAAAGGACTGATTATGCTAAAATATATGCAAAACAAAATGCACATATACTGTACATTAGGCATGAGTTAGTTATACTGTAATGATAATGTTAAATAAAAAACAAGGTAGGACAATGACATCTTGTGCCTTTTTCACAGCACATAACATCTAACAGCTGCATTCAAATCAATTTCCCTGGGCCTCAGTGTGTAGCCCCAGGGAAACAAGCTCTCACATCTCTCCAGCAACTTGAAACTTGCTCACTTACAGCTTCTTCTCAAAGTGTTTATTTAACAATTCTCATCTCTTTGTGAAAAAGAAAATGATTTTCAGGTTACATTCCCCATGAACATTAAACTAGTGCAGAGCATTAAAACTGGGATATGGTTGGATATTGGGCACAGTGATGATCATGCTAAATCATGATTTATGATTATCAGTGTGCCCAATTTTGGTATTAATATGCTTTTAATTAGTATTAAAATTTAATTAGTATTATTTTTTGCAATATCTTGTGGGCAGTGTAATAAGTACACCACATGTAATTCTGTTATGGCACGTGTTGCTAAACTATTGCCTATTTACACATCTCGTAGATTAGTTGTGTTTAGCCACTCGATGACTGCAGGTCCAGTACCTACTCCGGCTGCTCCACCATGTTCTCTAGTCATTAACTTTGTCTGTTGTTTTCTGCTGGGCAGGTATATTAAGTTGTTTTTTTTTTTCTTTTAGCTTTTTTGGTGAAAATAGTTGCTGCTGATTAACAAGAGCAACAGGAGTAAACCAAAACAGTAAAATCAAAACAATGAGCTAAAAGACACTAAAAAGCTCTGCAGAGCTAAATGGAGCTGGTAATTCTTTGTAGGTTTGTCCCTACACTACAAGCACCTTGTTTCATATTGCATAACATTCAATCTTTAAAAAAAAAAAAAAAAAAAAAGATTTGTTCAGGTTGAACTTCTCACATATGTGAAAATAATTTTGTTTTCCTAAACTGTTGTGTTGCTTCTTGCTGTGGTATTTTCAGGTGGATCCCTGTGCCCAAACAGCAGTGCCCTTCAGGAGGTGCGGAACTGTAATGAACATGCCTGTACAGTTTACCACTGGCAGACTGGGCCCTGGGGCCCGTGTACTGAAGACCCTTCTTCTTCATCCCTCAACATGTCCATGAGTACCCACGCCAGCAGCAACAGTCAGGGGCTCTGCTCCATGGGATTGCAGACTCGCAAGGTCATCTGCATCCGGGTCAACGTAGGACAAGTGCCTCCTAAGAAGTGAGCAGTCCTTTTTAGACTGTGTGGTTATTTTTGCCTCTCTGATTTAAAACTACAAAATCACTAGCTGGAATATTTTGCTGACGTAAAAATTGCCCTCTTCTTCGAGGTAATATCCATTTGCTTTGAGCAGCAGTTCTCAGTCATTTGTGATCAAGATCCAAGGCATGTCTTCATTTCAAACAATTCTCTATAATAGGTGATTTCACTGATTTGGACACCTTTATCCAAATAGAAGAAATGAATCAGTGAAACAAGGAGAACCCTTGATGTGTGAACTGATTTGTTGTAGCTTGATGAACACAACATGAGTTTATTCAGTCTTGAAGCAGATATTTTAAAGCCTTTCTTACATTGCTAAGTCAAACAGTGGCATCTGAGTATCTGTCAGGTTCATTAAGTGAATGCTAAAGACAGTTTGTTTATTAGAAAGGACATCAGTGGAAAACCGTCTATGATAAGACTGAGTATGCAGATATATGTGTAACACTGAGCAACAGTGAGATTAAAAAAAAACAAAAGAAGAGTCAGGAAGTGAGAGACAGATGACAGAACAGCAGTGGTGGGAAGCAAACTGGCAGCAGGAAGGTAAAGGGAGTCAGAGGAAACATCAAGGCAATGACAGAGCCAGTTAAATAAGCAGAGCAGACTCTAAAGTTAACTCATCCCTTCACAGGTGACCACAGTTAAATAAATAATCTCTTTGTCCCTGAAAACCTAATCAACCCTGCCGTTTTGGGCGCTGGTAATTTCTCATTGATGATAATGACAGTAATTAAATGGGTATGATACTTTAAGGCAATTTAATCATGAGGCAGATAAGAGACAAGATGTTTGTGGGTAGCTCTGAAGACCACACTGCATGAGGCAGAATCAAAATATACTGCTGAGGTTGCTTGGCATCTGGCAGAAAGTTCACTCTAGTCTGGTGTCAGTTGTGGTTGACTGAGTCACTTGACAACGGAAGGTAAAGGAGTAGATCTGCTTGTATCACATTATGTGGAAAAGAAGCCTAAAGTAGATTCATTACATCTGTGCAAAAAAATCAAGAAACGTCTTCTTCTGTAGGTTAAGTTTGTTCCTTTAGTGTCTCCCTAAAATTCATGACCAGTAAATTCCTCCTCCTCGTGTATTTTACCTCCCAGACATAGTTATCAGTGAAGAGAGGACAGGAACATGAATTATTTTAAGGGCCAGAGTGTGTAGTCACAAGGCAAATGTGATTCATAGAGAGCACCACATGATAAAATGAAGATTGATGTCCAGTTCAGGGGTGGCTGGTGTCCAGTTCGGGGGTGGCGTGTTCACCAGCTGACCCAGACACAGCATCTGCACTTATCGGGTTGCAGAAGAGAGGCTGAAGTCCACAGTGTCTTTTATTGCCTGTATTTTATTTTTCAAGTCTAAAAGCTGGACCAAAAGATAAACACAAGCTCAGTGGGTTGAAGAGTAGGAGGCTGATGGCACTGAGTAACTGTTTCAGTCGATGTGCCTCCATTATCTTTTGTTTCAACTGGTCAATAATTTTGTATAATCAAGTGTCATTTGTAATAAGTGCAAAAGAACAACATGACTTATTAATGATGAGGGGGAAAAAAAGATATTTTACCAAAGTGGACTCTCATCGAGCACCTACTCACCCACTCAGCGGGCGGTTGTTGTTATTGACCTCAGCAGAGTCAGACTGAGGGTTTGGATAAAGAAGGTCACACACTTGACAAAGTATTCCAGGAGCTGTATGACATTATAAACCTGCATTCTATTTAAGTGCGGATTGGTTTTATAGGCCATTTATTTGCAATTACCACAAGACATGATTTATGATTAGTATGTTTTTGCTTTTATGCATCTGTGCTGGTGATAGTTGTGGCTCAAAGTATTATGCTCTCGGGCTGCCCATCGGTTTGTCCCACTCTCGTGAATGTGATATTTCAGGAACACCTTTACGGAATTTCTTCAAATTCAGCTCCCAACTCACCCTCTTACAACACTGTTAAATGTATGTTCTGCAAATCAAGTACATGCATGAGAGACACTCTGATTTGCCTGTGGTTTGAAATTGTGGACTGTAATAGAGAAAACACAACAAAGTGAAAGTTGTCCACTATGTTTGGACCACAAAATAAAAGGTGTAGTTGTCATCACAGCCATAGCTTCTGTCAGCCTAGAGGCTTAAAGCAACGAATGACTGACACTGTGAGTGCTGTTACACAGGAGTCTCTCCGAGGCCTCTTCTCACCTTCATGGTCCAGTGGTGCTGTCCGTGGTGCTGAAAACGCTCCCATTATTCAGACTCGACAATCTCAGCTATGCCTCATTGTCCATTATTATGGCCTGTTGTAGCCTTTCTGCCTGTTGTAACCCTTCAAGATGTTGTTAAAAGTCTTGAAGTAGGTTTTCCCCAGACCACTGTCACTGGCAGGGCTCCAGTAATGGGCTGTAAACCAGCATGTAGACTTTCATTGCCTCAGAAAGAAGCTCACTGGATGTAGGACATTGGTTTTTATTTTAGCCCTGAGCACATAAAAGTTTTGGTTGTTGCCAAGAACTAAGTGCACACATTCACAGAAGGCATAAATTAATTTGAACACCTCATGGGCAAAATGACTTTGGCTCTTCAACTCCCAATGACAACCGCTGCCACCAAGATGGGTCCTATTAAGTTGATTGCCAATTAGCCTCATTTGTCAGCTATAAAAGAAGTCTGGCAATCAACACTTTGATAAGCAAGTTTTCAAAGCAACATGAGGCAATTAACAGAACTGGCAGACGCCAAATTATGTGTGCACTCAACATGCATGAGCGACAGTCTACAAAAGACAAAACAGAACTGAAATTGTATTTGGTTATCGAGACGAACACTTTTTTAAATTCATGCAACACAAACTGCAAACATTAAGGTGAACAGCAGTCACAAGCTGACACTGAGAACAATGATGTCTTCCCTGAGCCTGTCCTCCCTGTCCCTTTTAACTATAAGCTGAATTTCACTTTTGCTCTTGAATTGTTGGACAGACAGAATAAGCAACTTGATATCATCTGCCTAAGAGACTGTTACTGGCAGACACTTTCTGACATTTTTAGAAAGTGAAAGAGAAAACAATCAGCAAAAGAATTGACAAAGTTTAATAAGACACAGATAGAGGTGTTTTATAGCTGTGATAATTTAGACTCCACACCAGCTTGCTTGCCATAGAATCTCCAGGTCTGTGAAAGTCTGCTGGAGGGAGCGATCGCCATTATTTCAAAAGATATTTCATCATTTGGTTGTGTCACAATGGTGGTGCAGAGCACTGTCTAACACGTCACTCCAAAGACTCCCATGGGTGTTCGACTGGGTAGACTTCAATACATGATTTATGTTTCTCCACTCATTTGTTCAGATTTTGTCCCTTGTCTGTGGTGATGTAAAGGTTGTGTGCCTTCTTTCGTGTACGTTTGTCACCCTGTTTAACCCCTGCAGATTGAACAGACCGCAGTGGCATTTATCTCAAGGTCTAACACAGCTTTTTACATCCTTGATTTATGTATTTCTTGACCAAAGCAATAGCATAAAGAAGCAATAACCCTGGTCTCCTGGCCATCTGTTGTTCTGAGGCACTAGTATTTCCTAGCCTGCATTCAGAAGTGACTTGTTTTGTTTTTTTGTTGGGTTTTTTTTGCCCTGCATATCTTTATCTGGCACAATCCAGCTGACAGGCATTCTTGATCAGTCCACCCATGGGATCCCAGCAGAACAAACAAACATGGCTTCTGCAACCTTCATATGCAGATGTGCCCTGTCTCATTCACGGATGGATCTGAGCTGTCTTCCTCCTGCAGCCTCAGGCAGTGAACCTCACAGAGTGCATGTCACACACATGCAGAAACACACACACACACACACACACCATTGTTTCCATCACTTACTGGGTCTCTACATAAACTTACATTCATTTCCAGGAGACTTATCCTAACCTTAACCAGAACTGCTACTTGTCTAACCTTAACCAAAGCTGACACATGCTCTAACCTTACACCTCATCCTTTTTGTAAAATTGGATGAACTATGTAATGGGGACCAGAATTCCGGCCCCCGCAAAGATAGTAACTCACAAATTTCGGGCCATGCAAGTATAGAGAAACAAGGCCACACACACACACTGACTGTCAGAGCACAATAGAATTGAGAGACACAGCAGAAACAAATATGTCAGTGCCTCGGGCTTGGGCTGCTATCATCCTATCGAGAAAGCTGTTGTGGTGTGAGGAAAAACCAACAACGTCTGCTTATTGATTCTGACAGTCTGTGTGCTGAATGGTACCAAATGTGTGTTTATATAATCACATTGATGCTGTGGAATTTGTAAAAAGGAAACTGAATGATTCATGGTTATGATGTTCGACAGGAGCTGTATTAAGCCCAGTCAATCATCTCCCTGCTGTGTTTTCTAATGGAGGCTGTGTTTACTCCCTGTTTTTTAATGTGATAGATTGCTAAAAGCCTCAAGATGGAGGCCAGAGGCACCACTGAAAGGGCCCTTGAAGAACTGCGACGTTTTATGCTGAATTAAACAAATTATGTTGTTATTCTGTGGTCTGTAATTTTGATAATGAATTAGGCCTTATCCTCTCCCACCAGACCTTGCTTTTTGTGTGCACTCTCTTAAAACTACTGACAGTTCTTTGCTTTGAATCTTCTCTCTTCATCCTGCTCAACCATCTGCTCATTTTTCAAAAACAGCCTGTCGCTGAACAGATTACTCAACACTAATGGCAGCAAACACAACATAAGCATTAGCCTGGCTGCTCGTCTTAATGTCACGCTCTGGGACAAGTTCCCAGTGCCATGTTGTGTATATCTTTGCCTCGCTATAAATCGTGGAAAGATCATGACAAGACTTTGACTGGAACTAACAAGTCAGTTACAACCAGATATCATTACTGGATGGCTACATTGATTTTAGTAGTGCATTTCTACAACGAGAAAACACAACTGAGCATAGAAAGAGAAAAATGCATAATAGAAAATAATGCAGTTAGGGTCAAATACCCCAAGCATACCCCTTATAACTAAATGGTTTGTCTTCAAAAAGACAATAGGGTCAGTGTGACAAGTAAAAATAAAAGTAGTAGAGACAAACATGGCTACAAGAGAAATAAAGGAGGAGAACAGTGGCACAATAAAATGTACACATAATAAAAAATGCATAAATGACAATATTACAACTAGCTTTTATATCCGTTCCTTTCATATCCTAGTATTCTGGCTGGTATTGTGTTCTGTCAACAAACGCTACACCAGATTGGTGCATTTAAAGAAGAGACAGACATTCACATTCACACCATCAGGCAAAATCTAAATGTACTGTAGACATCAGAAGTGGAAGTGACCACTGACTCAGCTGACCAGCTGATCTTATTTGGGATCTGCAGGATGTGAGCAGCTTACCACTCTGTGACCAGGCTGACACTTCACATTTACACCTATGGATAATTTAAAGTTGCTGGCTCTCAATACAATGGGAGAAAACTGGAGCGTCCAGAACAAAGTCACACAGACAGAGAGGGAGCGAGGACACACCGCTGAATAAACCCTTTAGTCTCAAATTTGTTAAAAACTGGAGTAATTAGCTCATTCTTAATATGTGTGTTTTATTGACATAATTAAAAAAGCGTAATGTCACAGTCACAACCAAAAGCCATTGTTTAAATTACATGAGAGGTCAAGTGAACCTACAGTATATAGGATCAGCAATGCACTGATATATGGTAGACAATGGCTGTGTAATTCCTAAAAGTAATTAGAAGGAGTTTCAGTTTTAATTTTAACACAAAGCTAGTACAGAGGTTAAATGGGAATGTTATGGATTCCTAGTTAGTATTCATGCAGCAGAAGTTTGAATTAATTGTAGATGTGCTGCAGCTTTTTGTCTTAAAGAACAATACAGTAAATTGTAATAGGCAAGATGTGAGACAGAACAATGGATGGTTTATTCAAGCTGTTGTAAAGATAATAAAGGGTGTAGTTTTGCAATGTCTCTCACTTGAAAAGAACAGATGTTTCATATACAGTAGTTCAAATGGAAATCAAAAATGACCCCTAGTTTCTTGGAAACCAGCTAAAAGTCAGAGGAGCTAGAACATTTAAAAGGGCACAGAGCATATACTTTAATTTTGTTGTCATTTGACTACAGAAAAAGATCAATTTTTGCACACTTTGTGTATAGATTTCTGGCCAGAAATACAAATACAAATGAATGATAATGTCTTGCCATATAAATGGATTAGACAATAATATGCCAGTGTGAGTCCAGCTGCCCCCCACATGGCCAAAAATCTGTTAAATTCAGGTTTAAGGTTTGGTGAGTTGTAGGCACAAAATAATCGGGATCAGGAAACATCAAAGCCATCAAATGCCTGAAATAAATTAATTTTGGTTGTGGATAAGAAACAGGATGTGAGCTCCAATCTCCTGTGTCTGTTGAAGTCACACACGTTGTATGCCCAACCACACACACTGACCTCCTCCCTAAAGAGTCATAATTCAATCAACCAGGAGAAACTAGTTTTCTTCTGGGCAAAACTTAAATGCAGGTCAGTGCTGCTGGTGTGGACAGTGGTGCCAGAACATTTCCTTGTGCTTGTGTGTATGTGTGGAGGGGAACAGGCAATCTTTCCTTGTGCTTGTGTGTATGTGTGGACACGGGGGAGGGGAACAGGCAATTTGTACTGCAGTAATGGGTCTTAGTTTGGTATTCAGAACATGTTGCACCTGGATCAAGGGAAGCTGTATTTTTACTGTACTGTTTTACCAAAATAGGAATATTGTCCTTTGAAGAGCTCACACAAGTATTAAATTATAGTTCATCCTCAAACATTTACTGTTTTTGAGTAGCAGAGGGAGTATAACTAGGTCAGAGGTATAATCCACTCTATGCGAAAAGAGCTCTTGGCGTCACAGTATCTCTTACTGTAGACCTGCATCAGTGCCCTGGTCTCATGGCATGGATAGGTTTTTGTAGGTCTGAGGCAAATTTCCAAGGAATCAAGAGTCAAAGAAGTGAGTTACAACACCTGTAGTCATTTTAGAAACATAATAGTTTAGTTTATGAAATGCTAATGATTTCCAGACATTTCAGAGCAGAGACTCACTTGTGTCATAATAAAATGATATGTGTTGAGGGTATTCTGTTTGCTTCTGAATGAGGGATGGATTTGATCCCAGTCAGTAAAACTCCTCAGTATCTTAATAAGAGATCCACAATCTGATTTAGTAAGTTACTCAGTGTGATGTGTTCCCTCTTTGATGAACTCACAGTAAACTAGTTTGAGGTTGAAGTAACAGGTTTATAAATGAAAAGTTGTTTATTTTATTTTTCTTAAATGGTTTATGAACCCACAGGTTTGTAGCCTCCTGCTTATTGAATTGCTTTCATAATAAATTGCATTTATCTGTGTT